ATTGACCGGATACACTCGGTGGGAGGAGGTCCAAACCGTCTCTCTGCAGCTCTGTTTCCATGCTCTTTTGCATAAGTGATTACATTCAATCACGAATGAAACTGCTGATAGCTTGTCTCTGCAAACAGACTTCCTCCAATTGGTTTGTTCAGCATCAGCTGACATCAGTTACATAAGGCTTGTGATTGGAGGAAGTCTGTTTGCAGAGACAAGCTATTTCACTCGTGATTGGAGGCTCGTGATTGGAGGAAGTCTGTTTGCAGAGACAAGCTATTTCACTCGTGATTGGAGGCTCGTGATTGGAGGAAGTCTGTTTGCAGAGACAAGCTATTTCACTCGTGATTGGAGGCTCGTGATTGGAGGAAGTCTGTTTGCAGAGACAAGCTATTTCACTCGTGATTGGAGGCTCGTGATTGGAGGAAGTCTGTTTGCAGAGACAAGCTATTTCACTCGTGATTGGAGGCTCGTGATTGGAGGAAGTCTATTTGCAGAGACAAGGAATTTCACTCGTGATTGGAGGCTAGCAATAGGAGGAAGCCTGTTTGCAGAGACAAAGTATGGCCAGTTTTGCAACTGCGCGGTTCTCTCCTCGGCTTACTTCCTTGCATAAGACTCCCTTCAATTTTTAGCGTAAGGATTTTAGAAAAAAGTATTGTCTTATAGTCAGAAAAATACAGTAGGTCATCCAGATGGATAGGCCTTTAGCCATTTATAATTGATGGCCAGGGATAGATTTTTTTAAATTTAGGAAATAATCAGAAATAGTCATTAGCAGCTATGCAGTTTTACAAAATATGAAGTTACAAGGGGGAAATGCAAACACACTCACACACACATACACACACACACAAGGGCACCTCCACACCAATGTGGGACATCATTTGGGGATCAGCTCTGGCCCTTACTGATCTCCTGATGTTTGTTTTGGAGAGTTCAGTTGATTTATTTCTGACTATGTCCTGGTTTATTTATTGCAAAGCACAGGAAAGCTGTCATTGTCTTTAAATCTCAGTGGTTCACAAACCTTATGGATGATTGGTTGCCACTGGCAGGACCTCTTGCTTCAACCTGGTTCATGGGCCCCAGTCAAGCCAGTCCTTACTCTCCCTTCCCCTGAAGTTCAACATCCAATTCCTGGAGTTTCTCTCTATGCATTGCTTAGAACTTATCCCTCTTCTCACAATCCAGACAGAAAACCAACATACATATGATTATATATATGATAAACATTTCACTGACAAATTTGCTATGAAATCAATAGAGTGCAAATTTCTAAAAATCACCCTGCCTCTCCTGCAAAACCTATCATATACTGATCAATCCTTTTTATGACAACTCACTGATTCTTCTTTTAATTTGCATGATTTTTCTAATTTCCCTTCAATAAGTGATTTCAACTGAAGATGTCTATAATTTCTGGTTATTATATAACTTCCATCGTATTTCAAACAAATGGTTTATTTTACTGTATTTTTATACAATATCCTCTATTGAGGAACAATTGATTGGGAAGTGTTAAATAGTGATATAGAAATATGTCATTAAGGCTGCCAACTGACCAGAAAAATGGACTACTTTGTTCTTAAGTCTTGAACAGCAGCTTGATTTTCAGAAATCAGTAAGTAATTGTATAGATATAAATGCTTTCAAATAATGTCAACTACTTTTGTTGAAATCTCTTTATGTACACAAGTGAAGTTTTTTTTTCCTGTGACTGCAATTAATTTTTATATATTTGTAATTTTTCATCACAAAATTTAATAAAAATGCTCAACTCAGATATGTGGCATATTGTCCTCTGTATATAGTCCACTAATGACAAAGTTACCTTGGTTGTGTCTTCTCCCCAGAAATAATTGATCTCTTCCTCTTGCTACTTCTTTGGATCTCACCAGGTTTCTCTTGGTATAGCAGCCATTGTCATCAGAATAAAGTTTCAAAAAATCCATTTTGTATCCTCACTTTTCTAACTGTTAAAATAAATGAGTGTTCAATATTCCTTCCAATTAAAACACTTCTCCTCCAAACTTTAGCCACCCATCAGTCCTTTTTGTACCAGGAAAAAAAAAAGCTAGCTGATCATCACTAAGAGAATTTCAGGGCTAAATGACAGTTTGAAGCTGGATGTTGTCTCATCTCCAACTAGGACTTCCCAACTTAGTACCCCCAGTTCTGTTGCCTTCAGCTCCCATTATATGTAGCCAACAAGCCAATTGCTATGTTGGCTCGACAAAATGAGATTTCCAGTCCAATACAACTGGTAAGCACCAAGCTGGGAAAGGTTCCTGCTTCTATCATCCATATCATTATTTTTTAAGTATGCTGCTACATAAAAGCTTGCTAGGACCTCTTAAAGATACATATCTGCAAAAATTACATCTTTAAATGGATCAAGAGAAACTGGGGTAAAAAGAAAGCTTCACTTTTAAATAAACTTCTATATGCAGGCATTCACTTTTCCTGGGAGGTAATTCTTGGAAGGCAATTCCTGGCTGCATTCAGTGGAGGGTTCTTCTAATTAAATGTACATTACATACAAAATATAATATTAATTAAACATTGAGTTAAAAATTATATTCCAGAAATATATTATACAGTCCAACATATGGTAAGTCATGCTATAGCTGCTACCAAAGAAACTAATGGTGAGCAAAATACAGGGCATACCAAAAGTCAGGCCCCAGAGGCCAATCGAAATAAGTTTTATGAATTTTATTAATTAATTTTTTTTTCAGGGAAAATGTTGCAGTATTTAGGAATGTTCAAAGGTCATGCAACAAATGAGTAAGGAAGTGTTTAGAAGAAAATGGCAACCAATTTGAAAATTTAATGTAATTCGTATAACAAGTTGTCTATGGACCTGACTTTTGGTACACCCTGTATTATACAGAGCATTTTTTTCATCACCCATTCAAAACAATCACATTCATACACTATAGTTTGCCAAATAAATAAACTAACACATTTTGTGTGTTTGCTTCTTTATTGATCAGTGTAACTGGCTTGGGAAAACACAGGATAACAAGTATTTTCTTTTAAAGGGAATTCTACTATAGCATTATTAATATTAATCATACTTTGTGTTTCCTTAAGTCAAAGTTAGATCTAATCTGAAAAAGTGAGATAGGCATTTTCCAAAGTAAGCATCATGTTTAAACTTGACTCAGCAATACATTAGAAACAATTTAATTTCTGCATGTTATATTTCCCTATGATATTACTCACTGATTTTTTTTTTTCATGCAACAAAAGCCATCCATTCTGTTTGTAAAAATTATGATAAAATCTCTATCTGGGATGGATTACCACATTTACCACATTTAAGATAAAGCACTTGCTTAAACCTGCACTGTTTTCTAGGATCATCGCTATAAGAGTTTAGTGTAATATGTGAACCTGGACACTGAGTCATCGATGGGAGGTTCCATTAACATTTTGTTTCGTGTTTTACAGGGTCAGGGGAAAAACTAGAGTCCAAAGTATTAAGCTTAACCATATTCTTGCTTGAAATAACACTGAAGTGTGCTATAATGAAAAAGATCTGGGGGTCTGAGTGCTCTCTAGTTAGCCAATTCATTCTGTCACTATCTGCATCTCAAAAATAGGAACCTCCCCAACATTTTAATTTCTTTAATTCCAAATGCAGATTTTAAGAATTATTTAAGAAGTATTATACCATGACATCCAAGTACTTACACTGCTCAATTATAAAGTTATACATTTTTAAGAGACGTTTTGTGTTTTTTATAGCAGTATATGCCCAGAGTGTAAGAAAAATGTGAAACACACCAGGATTCATTTCTTCAGGTTTGCAGAACAAGAAATGTGTTTCATTTTGTGTGAGCACCATCTGCTGGTGGTACGATAGTGTAAAGGCAACCACTGAATGTGATGTCATCATGATAATCCAAACTGGTGGTAACAGGATATTTATTTACTCGTTCATTCATTTTGATTTGTGTGGCTGCCCATCTTGCAACAACAACTCTGGGCAGCTAACTTAAAACTAAAACTCAATTTAAAAAACAACAATAACAATAAATATAAATATATATATTGTAGCAGCTGAGGACAACAACAGTCACCACAAATAACATCCATCTCATGGGCCCCATTAACCTCCCACTCCTCACATCTAGGAAAATTGCCATGCTTTACAGCAGTGTTGTCCAAACTTGGCCACTTTAAGATGAGTGGACTTAAACTCCCAGAATTCCCCAGCCAGCCTGGCTGGGGAA